CCTTAGTGATTCTGTGATTCTGTGATTCTTGAAATCCAAATCTGTGACTTTACTATATGATTAGAGGATGGATACTTTCTGTGTATCTTGGAATTGGAAGGCCTTATCAGAAAAGCCCTGTTAACATCATTATCTTCCTTTTTTTTTTTCCAGTTCAGTTACATATGAACAGAGAATTACAGGAATATTGAAATGGCTTGATTATTCCAAATCTGAGAGGTAACACTTAGTAATATCTACCTGGTTTGTGTGACTATAACTTAGAAAGGTTTTTAATGCTTAGCAAATGAAATTTCTATTGGTGTTTGTGAAACATGGAATCTTCCTCACCATCTGAAATGATAATTAGCTGAACTTCAGCATCTTCTATAAGTATAACTAATCATTTTCCAGATAAGATTGTAGATACAACAGACAAAAAAGTGCACATATATCTGAATGGGATGTACTGTTGTATAAGTTTTCTTTTATTGTTGTGCCTTTGTTCTTGGTGGATGGCCTAGAGAAAATGTGGAACATTCAGTTTGTAGTCCAAGTGTAAGGATGAAAGATTTTACATGGAAGATATTGCACAAGGAAGGTTAAATATCTGAAAGTAATTGCAGGCAGTAATTCAGGATGAAAAGTAGATGTCAGTACTGATTGTGGTGCTCAATGTTGTGACATGCAAACAAGTGAAAGCTTTTATATGATAATTTGTTAACAAATTCCTAATATATTTGCAGTTAGGAGATGCTCTCTAGAGCCTCACTGCTTAATCAGGAAGAGATCCTTTAGGTGGTAGTTCGACTTACGTCTCAAAAAGGAACAGCTTGCTCTACTGTCTGAGATCTTGAACTTTTTCAGAGTGATTTCTGGATGCCAATTAAAGACACTGGATACTGTCTGAAACTGTAACTTCAAATAGTCCATGTTGATTAATTACAAAACTCAGAGGAAGTTGAATGATTGTATTTGCCATATGGACTTTTATTAAGGTTTAAAGAAGTTATTTATAATTCCGTTTTAAGTCCTATTTAATTTTTTTTTAAATGAAAGTATTCTTTTGAGATGCTGTATCCACATTCTCCTAATATTCCATTCTTATTTATTTCTAACTCGAGGCCTGATTTCTACACTTTATATATTGAAGAACCAGATTCTTCTGGACATTCATTTGGACCAGTTAGTGGTGGTGTAAGTAGTTTTTGTGTTTTTCTTAGACTAAATAGCACTAAAAATAGTGCTGTACTATGAACTTTACCAACTTATAAACTTGGAAAGGATAGATCAAAAATTACTGTGACTGTTTTATGAGTTTTTACTAAGAAGTCTTGTTTGTGGTTGATCCCATTGTTATGATTCCAACACTATTATAAATAATACTAATGGTTGTATTTATACTGAATTTTAATATTATTTCAAAGTGATATTTGGAAGCATGCGGCCTGGCAAATTCTCAGAACTGTCTTTTGTTTATTTCTGACACTGTACTTCAACGTTTGTTAATTTGTAATGCAAAAATACCACGTATTTACTTGCATGCAGGCAAAAAGTTCAGTCTTTAAGAAGCTTAGGTTTTATTATACCAGCTCCTTCCTGGAACGGTCTTGTTTAATATGTTTGAAAAAGGTCTTCAGCAAAAGGCAAGGACAGAAGCACTGATCTCTGTAGGACATTTTTAGGCTCCCTAACTGGAAAGGGAACTCCATTTCTCTTTGTACATAAAGGGCTTAAAAACCCGTTACCATATATGTAATTGTATATGTGTATGTTGTCCAAGCATGAAAGACATTCAAGAAAGCGCAGCAGAGTTAGGGGAACAAGAAGGGTGCAACTGCTCAGACGTGGAGTCCTCAGACTCAGTTGAGTGTTGTCCTTACTGTAGGTCTTACAAGAAGACTGTAAGTCAGCTGTGCCAACTAGGGAAGAGCCATCCTCTGCGAATGGCTGCAGGGTGGGTTGTGCTGGATTTCTCTGATATTACTTCAGTGGTTTATTTTTTTCTTTCAATAAATGTATTTTAAAATTCAATTTTTCTAAAGTAATAGAAAAAATTAATAGCGAGTTTTTTTAAGTCGCATATTCTGCGGTAGAGTGGTGGAGTCCTGCATGTCTATACTCTAGTGGTGATGGAAAAAGAAAAGAAGAAGCTATATTAAGAACCTGAAAACTGACAGAAAAGCTTACTTTTTTCAGACTTTGATGTTTACATTTAAATGAGAACTTGAAATCTGAAAGAAAAATTCTAATGAAACTGGTTTATCTGTCAGGTAATCAAAGCCTTACAGCTAGCAGATCAAGCACTGGGGATGTTAATGGATGGACTTAAACAAAGAAACCTGCACAAATGCGTAAACCTCATTGTTTTAGCTGATCATGGTAATGTAGATAATTCTTTTTTCAATCTAAATTTTATTGAGTCATTGTTTTCTTCCTCTGTGTGCTTACTAGTTTTAATGTATTGCATAATTAACTTTATGTTTCTTGCCATATATTGTATATACAAAATAACTGTTTCTATATTGTCCTTTAGGAATGGAGATGACCTACTGCAGACAGTTGGAATATATGACTAATTACTTCAAACAGATTGATTTCTACATATATGCTGGGCCTGCAGCTCGCATTCGCGCAAGAAATGTTCCAAAGGACTATTTTACCTGTAAGTGTGGACCAATCCTGGGATTGCACAACCAATATAACAGGAAATGCATAACTAAATAAATAGGGAAAAAGGATAATCAGTAGTAATTAGCAGAGTGAACAACTTTCTGTTTCATTTAACTGGTCTTAAACATGCATGGAAGTTATTGGGGCTTTTTTGCAGTAACGACTCCTTCAGATTAAATTGAAGGTTAGAGAAGCTTGCTGCAGACTCCAATTTGCATTTTCTTGCCCTGTGGAAAGACAAAGTAAAGATAATTTTATTGTTTTGAACTGGAACTTCAGGTCTTTTGTAAGTGCATTGCTCTTCACAGATATCTTGTGCAACATTGGCAGAGTCAGTCTTTTGAAGAAGTGACTATTTGCGACTGTGTTTACCAAGTTACGGAATCTGAATCTTAGCACAGTGGGATCTAAGCCTTGGTTGAGCCCTTTAGTTAGTATCACAAAAGAACACAAAACTGAAACCATGTGAGCTGACTCTGACTGGGAATAGATATCGTGCTACCAGACTGAAAAAAAAAAAAACCTAAAACTTTCTGTATCAGGGAAAAGAATGGAGAGAGGTAAACCCATGGAAGTGCTCTATTTTAGTGAGTTTATAGAAATCATAAAATATTCTAAAAGGCATAATTCTTGCAGATCTCAAATAAGAGCTGGGATCCCATTGTACTTTTTATTTATCTTTTCTAATTGTATTTATATTTGTAGGCACAAATTTATACAACATAAAGCGGACTTTCCTTGGTTTAAGTAGAAGACAGTCTAAGTCAGACAGGAGTAATAAGCAGAGGAGAGAATAATGATGTTTTGTATATGTCTTAATATAATTGTTGACTCATCTCCTCTAATGATCTTACTTTTTCTGAAGGAATTTTCATTCTGTAAAGTGCTCAGATTTGTTTTTTAGAGAGCTAATGTCAAAAGGTTAAAGTCACTCTTTGAAAGGTGAAAGTACTAAGACAGACTAGATTTTTCTCTGTAACTGCTGCTGGAAGTGGAATACAAGACAAATGCTCCAGGTCCAGTTCAGTGTAAATAAGGTTATACTTCAAACAGAGGTTAGGTGAGAGAAAAAAAACTTGGTTCTGATGATGTGTCAGCTTTAGGTGTAGGCATTCAGCACCATGGCAGTTTTCTACAGTCTGTCTTGATTTACCCAAAGTACTAGGTACTTCCACAGGTTACCACACTTGCAGACAGGTACCCTTCCTACCCGTGGAATCTTATGATTACCATAATCTTCACAAGCTTCACAAAGAAATTCAATTTTACAGACAAAAAGTATGTTAGATTTTTTTCTCATGAGGCTTTGGAACTTCAGCTGTTTAAATGTGTGTTAATTCATCTTTTCTTTTTAACAGTTGACTCAGAAGGAATTGTTAAAAACCTCACAGTGAGTAAATATTTTCATAAATTTTCTTCATAGATCCTCTTAAGAGGAATCTGCTCAAAAAGCACAGTTTGTGAAAACCGGAGACTTACAGTGCCAGCTTAAATAGTGTACTGACTCCAGTGTACCATAGCAGTTCTGGAAGTTTTTCAAAGGTGGTGCATAAAGGTTTGCCATGGGGGATCTCTGTTCAGAGCAAAAGAGTGTTCTGTACTTCACTTTAAAAGAGAAGAAGTGGCTGACTTCACATGGAGAAAGTAGGGTATATCTTCATTATGGAGCAGAATACAACACAGACACTTTAGATGATAGGCATCTATTAGTGTGGGATCACAAGTGCTGCACCCAGGCTAGGTTAAAGCAACTTTTCCACACAACCAATAATGACATTGTAGAGCACATTGCCACAGGATGTTGTAGACGCTGGAAATATAAATAGAAAGGGGGAATTTTAGAAAAATTAATGGAGGATAGGCCTGTAAGGGCCATTAAACATGATCCACAAGCAACCTCTGACTTAAGAAATCCCTGAAGCCAGAAGAGACTGAGCAGATACAAGAAAGAATGTTCATTCAATACTTGACTTCTTCTGACACACTTTCTCTAAGTATTTGGTTCTGGAAATTCTGGAGATCTGATTGGAAACAGAGTACTAGGCAAGATGGACCTTCGGCATGAGGCAGCATGGCTCTTTTAGGATCTTTTATGACATATCACTTTAAGTACTTTAGGTATGCTGCACTACCACTGGGCCCCATACTGGTAGTTCTGCCTGCATCTCTGCCATACTGTGTGGATGTAGCACTTCAGAGCAGGTCCAAGCTTGTTTATGTCTCCCATGTAGACAACTGCCCCTTGTAGGTACTGTCTGTGACAGCTGAGCTCTGAAGGGTGCAAACAACGGAGTGCAGAACAAAGTGCAAAACAAAAGACCAAGCCTGTTTCTTTTACTGAAAGGTGGTAAGATGTCACAGTGCATATTTTTCCTCATACTTTTTTAGATAAATAATTTGCTGCCTTTTTTTTTTATTGTTCCAGATATACATTAATACATGTGGCATGAATGTGGTGGACAGACTAAAATTCTTGTAGGAAAGTTGTCTTTTTGTATTTCATTACATTTAAAATTTACAGTGAGTTAAATATTTAAACTGCTTGCTCTCTATGTATTGTCATAATTTTACCTTCTTTCCTTCGTTGCCAGTTTGGTTTTTATTCTGTGAGTAGTCCTAGTCAAGTAGTACACAGATGTTCTGATACTTTCAGAATAAATGCCCTCAGCTTGGAAAAATTCTGGGCTGTCTCAGCTGGGTACATTTCTGATAGATCACCACTAGAGGTCTTCCTTTAACCTGTTGAACAACTCAGTTATGCACTATTACATGTAGCTTTTGCCTGACACTGAAGTCTAAAGGGTAGTGAACATTCTTGTTTAATTTTTTCTTGATTCCGAACACCTAAGAACACATCCTTTATACCCCAGCATGAAAAGCAGATACGGGTGTAGGATATAAATGGTTGGGAATAGCAGAAGGAACTTTTCCAGTGCTGCATTCCCTACCCCATTGTATGATGTGGAGCCTGCCATATCAAAGAGCATTAGTGTGAGGGGAATAGTACAATTTGCATGTTCTCAACCCCAGTTGAAACTGCAACTACTAATAGTTACAGAGATGTGACATCTCTGCCTTATAGGAATAGCCCAGAATGAGAACACTTCCTCTTTCCTTTTCTATTCATATAGAGTTTGTGTATTTTCTCCCTTTCAAGTTCTTAGAATGAGGGTTTTGGGCAGAGAAGGGAGTTGTGTGTTGTATATTAAATGCTAATCAATAGACATAAAGTCATATTATATGTTGATTTCCTCTATCTTTCCCTTTAATTAGACTATCTTTTGTAGAATTACCTCTTCTCCTGGGCTAGCAAACCCATTGAATCCTTAGTTTTCATGTTCCTAGATTCCATTATGCTTCTTTGATGACTATCCAGGCACACTTACTCTCATTTCACATGTTAATGTCATCCTATGCAGAGGACACAGTTCTAGTACTTAGAGGTGAAGATAACAGATCAGTCTCCAAGCATGCTATAGCTTGTCCTGCCTGTGTGGTAAAAGAGGCCCACTTCTCTGGCTTACCCAGCTTCCTAGGAGCTCTTCCCTCAGCATTTTAGATGTTCTATGTTGTCCCAGTTCTGGATTCCTGATCAGGAACAACACTTCTGAAACATTGCCATTGCTGGAATGGCTCCTGATGGCCATATGTAGTTAAACCTTTGCAGTATGTCATATGGTTGTCATTAGACTCTCAATGCCAAACTCATACATGGCATGCCTGCTAACACAACAGTTATATTAACACATTAAATGTGGCTGTAGAAGCTAAGGCCTTTAGCTAACAGCTGAGCGCTGGACATTAACATGGCATGAGAGTACATGTTCAGTCTTGTGACTAAAAACCCTAGACTGTGCTACCATTGTGTATACTTGGTTTTCTTTGCTATTTATTGAATGGTAAAGTAATGGAATATGGCAGAAATAAACTGCCAGGGAACTTTCTCTTGTAGAGTGTAATGTCTCATACTGGATGCCAGTGACATTAGTACGAACATATAAACTAAACATTACTACTAAATTTCAGCCATAGGAATACTTTTACCACAATATTTGTGAACTTACTATACGTATTATAGCAGTATATTTTCAAACCGTTCCAAAAAACGCTCCTTTTCCTTCCATTGTTTTGTAGGCCAAAAATGAGATCTGCAGGTTATCCTAGCAGCTATCTGTGAATAAAGTGTGCTTTGTGCTTACATTCATGTCACTAAGACATTTGTGATAATTTTGAATGATGGGTTTATTTTTGATACTGCACAAAACTCATGACCGGACTCTTTCCCCTTGCACAGTGCAAAAGAACCCCTCAGCACTTCAAGCCTTATCTGACGCCTGACTTGCCAAAACGATTCCACTATGCTAACAACATTCGTATTGATAAAGTCCATCTTTTGGTGGATCAACAGTGGCTGGCTGTGAGGTAACATAATTTGTGTGACTATTATCTTTTTCATCCCATTCTCATCCTTTTAATTTCCTTCAGAGATGCCCCATTTTTTGTTTTGCTTTAGACTTGTTACATTTCCATTTTTGTTACATTTAAAATCTTACTGTGAGTAAAAAGGAAACATGCCTTATACATAAAGCCAAGTACATATTATTAGTATGATTCAAATCTTAACAGTCTAATAAAAGAATCGTCATTATTCCAGAATTTTTACAGAAAAAAAGGAATAAAAAAGGATTTAAAGAAATTAATACTACTATACAGAAGAAGTCTCAAAAATAATGCAGTTTAAATTGTTATACAAAGCCTTCCTAGTATCTAGCCCTTTTCCTGGCATTACAGTCACCCCTCCACAGCCCTTCTGGGTCCTAAACTTGATGACTTCAGTCTGGTGAATGCATTGATACAGCCAGTAATCAGGATTATGAGTCCTTCATCAGGAGGAATATGATGTAGAGGTTTCTTCTTCCTCACTCTGATCTGAATGAAGTCCTTCTTATATGTATGCTAATACTACAGCTTGCTCATTCTTCACTGTCCTGCAAGTTAACATTACATCTCAGTTCATTAGATATGGTGCATTCTACATGTGTCAAATATTTGTTCTTTATTCTCTTTCTTACCTCTAAGTCTGGTTTTGCTCAGTTCCAGATCTGCATTTCTTTAATTGACCATCCATGAGTTGCTTCTATCCTTGGGGTCTCCATTCTACACAGAATAACTAATTGTCATTGCTATCTGTATAAAAACTATGTTTTTGCCATACAAAGATAAACTGATAAGATAATAAATTAGACATAACCACCTTGTCATTACAAAAAATTGCTGTAAGAGCTGAACAGTACAAAAATACATCTGAGCAAGTCAAAAGCTGTTCAGACAAGCCTTAGTCCTGAGGCTTTGAAAACTCAATACAAAGATTGTGGTGTTAGTAGCAATACTGTATTCTCTGAGCTTCAGTGTTGCAGTAGGAGAAGGATGAGCCGACTTGGAATTTCAAGACTATTCAAATAGTAGAAAATGCCTGATCAGTATATGACTTGATTGTTTGTTTTACTGCAACGAAATAGTTATCCTGGACATATAAAAAGAAATGCCCACTGAAAAAATCTCACATTCACCCTTTTTTAAACTGTGCTTAAAGGTTCTTGTGCCTCTGAAAACAGGATACATGTGCTTAACAACTGTGCATTGAATCAGTATGGGATGACTATCTCTTTATCTTTCCATGTATCTCAGCAACGGGTAAATTAAAACAAGTGTTAGTCATTATAAGTCAGACTTTTTTGACGTTATTAATTCTATAACCGCACACACACATCTGCATCCCTTCACCCTTTCAAATCCATGATGAAAATGCACTGTCTTGTACAGCAAAATCCTTTGCCGTCTTATTTATATTGTTCCACAGAGACTAAGAGCAGAGTTCTCCCATTATAAGTTTTCTATTAAAATGCAGATACCACAGAATGTAACTGAAGAATTCTTCCTAATGAGATTACACTTCTTCTGAAACTTGTAGCTAGGTGAAGTCTTCATTTAAAAAATAGCCATTTTTTCATTTTATTTTTAAACACTCAGTAGCTACCTAGGATAATTTATTTTTGTCCATAGCAATCTCTGTTGCAGGAAAAATAGATCTTCATAAAAGTGAACACTGGATGAGCAAGAATTGCTACAATATTGTGCTGGAGTCAGTTTTTAAGACATGATCCAGAGTCCAGTGATTCAGGATGACTGTTATTAACTGGTTCTGTTTGTGCCATTCTATTTATCTATATGATGGTTTCTCCTTAGGGATGGAAGTTATACATATTGTGATAGGGGTAACCATGGCTATAACAACGAATTTAAAAGTATGGAGGTAAGATGATTTCTATACAAGTCTTGCACTTCCTTATGTAGAAAATCACGATGTGCTAGGTGAACCATCAGAATATAGAATATACGATAGCTTTTGCAATGTGCTTTTTCTTCTGTGTCACCCAGACATGTAATCCATGAACACATACTGGGTCCATATACTTGTATTGCCTTCCGTCAATGTGTATGAGGCCTGCTTCCTTGGGATCCTGTAGTAAAACTTGTCTGGGCTCAGCTCAACTCCATGGAGCTAGACAGAGTACTGTAAATGGAGCATACCATATGTAGCTATGGGACACTGAATTCTTTCCTTCTTTCATTCTTCTACTGAAGCAATGACTGAAAAATCTCCACAGGCGCTGGGAGCTCAGTTGAGCACCTGGAAGCCTGTGTGGTCAAATAAACTAAATTTCATTGTCTTTGCTTATCTTACAAGACTCAATTGTATCATCAGAGCAAAAAAGTCACTAGTATAACCTTTATGTTAGTATAGCCGGTATTGCAGTTTTATCTCATTTTCACTTCTGGTCACAGTGAAAATATTTTGAGGTCCTGAGCTTTTTGTTTTTCATATACTTTCTGTGATGTGAACCTTTAGGTATGGTCAAGCATGCCACTGACTGATCCCATATTCTGTGCCTAAGAATCAGATTCTTCCAGATCTAACTATATTAATACCTTATGTCAATATACTGATCAGGATGGTGGTGAATGTTTGTATGTAAAGAAAAGGTAAATTTGGTTACCATGGAAACCTTAATCACAGATAACTTTATGCTGGTGGCACCATGACTGAGGAAAATATTTTCTTTGTAAAGGAGCAAAATATCTTAATGTTGTCTTTTAAAAATAAATTTTAAAATCCTTTTCTGTTATGGGACCATAAGAATATTATTTGAGAACAAATCGTTGTCCTCTTTAGTCATGTTTCCTGTATCTTACAGCAGGTAGTTCAGGAGACTTATAAAGTAGTAGAAACTAATGTGACTGTAAGTAGTATCAGTGTTCTGCCACAATGCTTGCAGACCCCAGCAAGGGCCGCCCAGCACTACATTGTACCTGATGCAGGTCTCTGCTGAGCTTGGGATGGATCTCCGTAATTCCCTGTTCCTTGCTGTAGCCATGGCTATAGGCTCTTAAGTGACCCAAAGACTTTTGAGAATGTGACATGTATTAAAACAAAGAAACCCCAATGCTTAAGTTTCTGGCTCAATATTAGCCTTTAGATAGGATCTGTGAGTGTCATAAGTCTGTATTTGTTGAAATGGCATTATTACTGCCTGTTGCAATGAAAACATAAAAAGGTGTGAATTTGAAACATAGCAAACAATAATTTTTGTAAGTATACATCAAAATATTAAAGAACACACACACACAGATTCATCATAGAGTTTAAAGTATCCTGAGAAATGAATTTATGTTTTGCATTTTTCTTCAAATTATATGCAATGGGCAAAATTTGCCTTCTTTACCAGAACAATGCTGTCTTTTAACTTTTATGACTGTGAAAAAAATGTATTTTGTTCCAGTGTCCCCGTGTCTGTAAAATGCAGCTGAATGGTTTTTTAATTTGTATTCCTTTAGATAACAACCTTTGTTTTATTACAATCTAGGCTATATTCTTAGCATATGGCCCGAGCTTTAAAGAGAAAACAGAAGTGGATGCTTTTGAAAACATTGAGGTTTACAACCTTATGTGTGGTGAGTAGAAACAATCCAGTACTTTAGATGATAAACTGACAGTGTTTTCAAATACCAGTGTTGTAAGAGCTAAAAGAAGAGTAACTAAAAATTCAGTGAATTCATTCAGAAGCTAGGCTTTTCACACAAAAAAATGAAGCCATGCTTTTTTGCCTTCTGTACAGTGCTAAAAATAACTGCCAGAAATTGTTCTGCTTTTAAGGTTGTTTCTGGTTGCAGAAGGAGTCCACTGAAGAATCAGAGAGAAGCTCTCCTGCCACATGGGCTTGCTGTTGAAATGGTGCCTGTGGAATAATTTTGGGATAAGAATCTTGTAGAGAGTTACCACGCTTGCTCGTAACTAAGGATGGACCATTGCAGTCCTGGCAGTGAGCAATTAGGAAGTATGTGCCTCAGAAAATACGAATTAAGGCATCGCATAAAAATGCAATAGGCTAGTACACTTCACAATGCGATGCGTTTGCACACTTGCATTAAATCATCTAATCTTATTAATATTATGGCAATGTATAAAACTGTATCAATACTACTCAAATATGTAATTACCAGTGCAGTGGAAAATAGCAATGAACTTGGTTAGAAAATTGCCTAGAAATTGGTTAGAAAATTATCTAGAAAACTGCAAGTTGATGGTAGGAGTTACCATCATAGTTTAGATAACTGAATAAGAGATTTGTTCTATATTTAGAATGAATGCATAGGAAACGCATAGAATTGGAAAGATAATGATTTTTTAAAATCTCATTTTAGTCTTAAAATATCTTTAAAATATATCTACAAATTTCAACTGTTTCAACAGATTTGCTGCGTATTACACCAGCACCAAACAATGGAACACATGGCAGCTTGAATCACCTCTTAAAAACACCTTTTTACAATCCTTCACATGCAAAAGAAGACTCATCTCCTTCTTCATGTCCAGTTTCCCATCTGGATCCCATAGATGAACTGGGATGCACATGCATGAATGTAAGTAGCAGCTTCTGGGATCTTTTAATCACCTTTGTCAAGAGTGTACTCTTTTCTGTGTTTTTTCTAAACTATGGATTCATTCTGAATGATTCTCTTATATTTTACAGATATCAGATGTTATAGTACTAAATGAGAGGTTAAATCTCACCGCAGAAGAAAGTAAGTAGCAAGGAATTAAAAGGACAGCAATATTTTTAAATCTATGCTTGGTTTAGATTTTATAGTATTGGTTTCAATGGGAATTTTTGAAATGCTAACCTCAATTTCAAGTGAAGTGGGAAGGCTAAGTCATAAGCATAACTTTTTTTCTTTCTTCTTTGCATTTCTTTAAAAAATGCTAATCAATACTGTTATAGCAACATTTATGCATAGGAACAGGATCTGGATGCCATTAAAATCTTGGAAAGAACCATACAGGTTTCAGTGGTCTTTGGGGAAAGCCTGAGCATTTCTAGGCTAGATGCCATAACTCTTGTTCCCCATCTTGTAACCATAATTTTGCCTTTCTCTGATTAAAAATTCCCATAGATATTTCTGTGTGCTTTTTTATGGGGTTTCTGGAAATTTTAGAATGCATTGTAATGCTTCCTAGCCAAATAAGATGTAAATTTCACTCCACTGGCAAGACAAGTTTTATAATTCTTTATAATTTATAATTCTTTAAAAAGATGTATATTGGTATGAAATTGCAAAGAAACAAGTATTTGCAAGTCTGATATATTACATTGACTTCTGTACATTAAACATAACATGAAAATGATTTTCTATATTTTCTATTCAACTCAGAAGCGAAGAGCTTAAAGAAACACATGCCCATGTTTACTGTTGGTTTTATTTGTACTTCTTAATGTTTTAATTTACATTTTTCTCTGCTCTTTTAAACCTTTGTGCCATCCAAACTGTTATAGAAGAATGAATCAATAATTATTGCTTAAATTCTAGTAAAGACAGCAATCTCATATCATTTGCCATACGGGAGACCCAAAGTTCTTCAGAAAGAAAAAGTCTACTGCCTCCTTTCGCATCACCGGTATGTGAGTGGATACAGCTATGATATCTGGATGCCACTGTGGACTGCATACACTGTGAATAAGCCTGTAAGTTATCAAATACCCATACTATTCTTCAAAATGTAGTATAATGGATTGAAAATGTGGTTCATTCATCATGAATCCTGGTTAAGGACTGGTGGATTTCATGTCACTAAGGCTCTTATGTCTGAAGTAGAAAAAGTGTCTTCGATATCTTTTAAGTTTCAACTACCTTAAAATGTTGTTTAAAAAAGGAGGAATGGCCATCTGTTAGGGACACAAAACATATAGAAGAATAGAGCTGCTGGTAAGCTGGTTCCATTAAGCCTGTTCTGTAAAAGGAATAAGCTGTCAAGATAGCGCACCAACTTGCCTGTCAATTCCTGAGGAAAAGCAGGCTGTGATTTCCAAAATCAGAAGCTTTTAAGCTTTGTCATGAATATCATGATCTTTCTCCTATTAACAAACCTTTGTACAGCTCTGCAAGACAATTTGGACTAATGCATATTTTTGTATGTTCTGTTTATTTGCTCTCTATTACATTATATAATTTCTGAAAAATGTAATTATAGCTGAATGAACCTTTGAGAGTTCAAGTGTGGTTCTGGAATAAATGATTTCAGTTTTCAGGGTCAATAAACTAGTGGACATTCATGGGCTTAATTCCCCCTATAATTTGACGCTTTTTCTAAGTTGCCCTGAGTAATAACTTTTACGCCAATTTTTCTGTCTGAAGACAACTGTTATTGATGTCTACATAATTTCTTATTTCATCAGTGCAAATAAGGGGAAATTATTTTAATCAAATATATGCTGCTAGAATGTTAGTATTTCATAAAGTTTTGCATCATACTTTCTACTGATTTTTCACAATCTGAGTGAAGGATCACAAATCCAAGCCTAAGGAGGCTTAAAGTCTAGTAAAACAAATGTCCATTTCAACAAAGATTATTTTTACTTCATCATATTTGAAGATCTGCTCTTATAGCTTACTATGAAAGTGCATTACCCTAATGAAAACCACTTAATTGTGGGCAGGTTTTTTTCCAATTTTGCTTTGAAAAGATTAAAAGCTCCCACCAGAGCTGGGGTCTTTTTAATATTTCAGCACCAGCAGTAAAAAGCTCAAAAAAAGCAAATAACTTCTCAGAGATTTTCCTTTGTGGAAAATCAAATTCTCAGTTGGAAAAGAAATGTATAGAGAAAGTTCTTGGCCAATATAACATCTAAATCAGTGGCAATACATATTTGTGGGAGTTTCTTATAGTGGTTTATGCAACACTGTAGGAAGCAGCGAATGATTGATACTGAAGTATTGGAGGGTATAGTTCACAGCAGACTCTAATACAATGATGTATGTTTTCTATAGAAAGAATAGGAAAGAATAAATTTCCTCTGTAAAACTCTCAGAGACACAATGGTGAAAGGTTATAATTGTAAGAGCTCACTCACTGACTTGCCTTACACAGTAAGCTGATATCACAATTTTTTATGTGCTAATCAAGAGAAAAAAAGCTTTATAAATTATAACAGCAGTGGAAGGACAGAAGGATAGAGCTAATGCCTTTGACAGTAAGTTTTGGCTACAATACTTGGGAATGACAGAAAATTGCAATTTCTACAGAATTTTTATTGCATCCTAAGTTATTTATGTTGTGGATAAAGCCTGTGCAGTGATTTACACAATTTGTAAGGTGGAGCATTTCTTGACATTAGGTAGCTATAAAGAAGGGCTGAAACAGTAAACAGCGCACGCAAGCAGAGCAAAACAAGGAATTCATTCACTACTCCCCATGGGCAGGCAGGTGTTCAGCCATCTCCAGGGAAGCAGGGCTCCATCACGCGTAATGAATTCTTGGGAAGACAGACACCATAACTCCAAATGTCCCTCCACTCCTTCATTCTTCTTCGTCCCAGCTTTATATACCGAGCATGACATCATATGGTATGGAATATCTCTTTGGCCAGCCTGGGTCAGCTGTCCCGGCTGTGTCCTATCGCAGCTTCTTGTGCACCCCCAGCCTTCTTGCTAGCAGGCCAGCAGGAGAAGCTGGACTGTCCTTGACTACTTAGCAACAACTCAAAACATCAGCACGTTATCAACATTTTCTCATCCCAAATCCAAAAAAATCCATAGCCTCACACTAGCTTCTATGAAGACAATAACTCCAGCCCAGCTGAAACCAGGACAATAATACATAGTTAAAGGTCTTAAATAAATTATGTCAGACAGAGTTTTGGTTACTTACTAATTTCAGTCAAAGGAAAATTTAAGATTGAAGGACATTTATTTTCTTGAGGTTTTTTTCGCAAAAAGGTAGTCCCTCCACCTGCCTGCATACACTGGTGGAATTTAGGTATCTTTGCTATGTAGAATCAACCAAGTTTACTATAAAAAATGTATACGGTCCTGCACCTGGGTCGAGGCAACCCCCGGTATCAGGACAGGCTGGAGGATGAAGGGATCAAGAGCAGCCCTGCCGAGAAGGACTTGGGGGGGTATTGGTTGATGAAAAGCCGGACATGAGCCAGCAATGTGTGTGTTTCCTGGGCTGCATCCAAAGAACAGTGGCCAGCAGGTCGAGCGAGGTGATTCTGCGCCTCTACTCCACTCTGCTGAGACTCCACCTGTGTTTCCTGGGCTGCATCCAAAGAACAGTGGCCAGCAGGTCGAGCGAGGTGATTCTGCGCCTCTACTCCACTCTGCTGAGACTCCACCTGGAGTACTGTGTCCAGCTCTGGAGCCCTCAGCATGGGAAAGACATGGACCTGTTGGAGCGGGTCCAGAGGAGGGCCACAAAAATGATCAGAGGGATGGAACACCTATCCTGTGAGGACAGGCTGAGAGAGCTGGGGTTGTTCAGCCTAGAGAAGAGAAGGCTCCAGGGAAGCCTTCTTGTAGCCTTCCAGTACTTAAAGGGAGCTTATGGAGGAAAGATGGGGCCAGACTTTTTAGCAGGGCCTGTAGTTCTAGGACAAGGGGCAATGGTTTTAAAGTAAAAGAGGGTAGATTCAGACTAGGTAGAAGGAGGAAATTTTTCACAGTGAGGGTGTTGAAGCACTGTCACAGGTTGCCCAGAGAGGTGGTAGATGACCCATTCCTGGAAACATTCCAGGTCAGGTTGGATGGGGCTCTGAGCAACATGATCTAGTTGAAGATGCCCCTCCTCATTGCAGGGAGGTTGGACTAGATGACCTTTAAACGTCCCTTACAGTCCAAACTGTTCTATGATTCTATGATACTATGATTATGAATTCTCATTTCTTCAGCTGGAGAATTTTCTCCTGTGATGTCCAATGGAAATAGTCATGAGCAGCCTTCATTTCCTAAATATATGGGAGTATTTGTGAAAATACAGGTTTTATGATATATTACATATGTGATGGACAGACACTAAAACACTGTCCCACTGCCTTGGCAACTTGGATTAGAGCTCATAGTTCATATAGTTAGCTTCAAGAAATGTGAAATAATGAGAAGAGAGTTGAGTGGTGTTCTCATTACTTTAAGCTGGAGAAAATGTAAATGCTGTTAATAACCCAGATTCATGATATAGGCCAAAAGTAGATTCCCTGCTGTATTTGGATAACATTAGGTGTGACCCCTGTATGTATTGAGAATAATGAAGTTCTCTTTAGGTCAGTCCTTGGCATGCTTACTCAGACCTTTGTTACTTTGATTCAGGTTACCCTTCAGAGACCATACAGAAGTTGAAGCCATTGTCAATTGTTAAGTTTAAAATACTGGTTTCTTCAGTGACTCTGATCCATTAACCCTGCCTTATTGATTTGGACACTAGAAAGGACAAATTGCTCAAATTAATTGGGTATCAGTTTTGTAGTGAGATTTACATCTGCTTGTCAATGACAAGTGGCAAAGGCAGTCTTTTGTCTTTTATATTTCATTCCATGTGGTATATATATTTTCCATTAATATACAATCTGACCATAATATGGGCATCTACAGGCATTCTCATAAAACTGAGTAAAGAAATAGAATCAAGGAGTACAAAGAGGCACAGCAAGAGCATTCCTGTTCTTTATTTTTGCTCGGTTTTAACCTATTAAAATAAACAATGTACTGAAAATCAAGTTAGATGTTTAACTACTGCTTATAAAGGTACAAAACAAATAAATATGTTCCATTCTTACCAAAATGAAAATAAATTACATACAAATGAGTATGAAAAAGAAAATGCAGTTAAACACAGAGAAGCATATTCTGATGTTTTAGTTAATGCTATCGTAAAATTATGATAAAGGTTATAGAAACAATTATACTCATCAGAATCACTTTTGGCCAGATCTTAGCTAGTGTTCATGTTAACATGTCTCAGTTGAAGTTAGTGAAGGTAGCCAGTAAAATGTACTGAATTTACTATGAATTTTTTTAGCTTTAACTCTTCAGCAATGCAGACTCTTATTATGGAGATAGCATCCTCAGATGCTAAGATGAGATGATAGTGTCATCTTTACATACTAGCTGCTTTCCAGAAGGATGTGACATCAAGTTTGTGTTTCCAGAAATATGTAGAAGTGACGAATGAGCCAAACTTGTCACCTGTTTTTGCCTAAGGTATAACCTTATTTTGCTACTACAATTTGATGTGCTGCATAAGGATTTCCCTGAATTACTTAAAAACAGAAGTAGAGGAAAAACACTAGGTAGGAAACATCAGTGTCCATTACTTGCATTGACCTGATTCACTATGAAAATAGGAGAAGATTCAATGAAGTCCGTTCTAGAAAGTTAAAACCATACAAAGCATTGGGTTAGCCACAGCCGTGGGTGTAATACTTTTTTTTCCCCTTTTCACAGGAAAATGCAGCTCTTCTTCCTCCCACTGTTTCAGACTGTCTGCGGGCTGATGTTAGAATCCCTGTTGCTCGGAGCCAAAATTGTTCCAACTACCCAGAAGGGCTGGCCTTCACCCGCAGTTTCCTCTATCCTCCCAGTGAGCATGGTTCTTTTTTTAGCTAGAGCTTAGAAAGTCTTAATCAGCTGGATGTGGGTTTATGTTTAAACATATACCCAAACACCAAAACAAACTTCTTTGGATCAGCATGTTGGGCAGAAAAAGGTTTCCAGTGTTTGTAGACCGACCAAAAGCAGGACTCAAATCTAAATATTTTCAGTTTAGAACACTTAAGTTTTTCTTTAAAAAATGAAACAACTTGAATGTTATGAAAACTGATTGGAAAGATGTAAAGGGTTAGAGTGAAGGGCTGTCCCTCATCCTCTGTATGAATATTCATTTCCTATTGTCAAATTTGATAATTACTTTATTGAACAGACAGATTGTACAAAAAAATTTGGAGATATGTTTGTAGTAGGATCATACACTCATGCTTAAATATAAAATGTAATTTAATTACATGTATGTGCAATTTATAATGACATATGAATCAAATCCATCTTTGTATAGTATTTCATTAATCTATACTTTGTTCTTTCATATAGACTTCAATTCATCTGCTCTTGAACAGTATGATGCCTTACTCACCAGCAATATTGTTCCCATGTATAGAGCTTTCAGAGGTAGGTTGCAAAGTTTTGATTAATTTTGATTATTTTTCTGTAATTATCGTTCTGGATTTGATAAAGCTATGACAGAGACTTAAAAACATTAATGCATGGCCTAAAGTATATCCCAATCTTGTGCAAACATATTTAAGACTTTTAAAAAGTAGATGTGTTAAATTTTAAAACGCACTTATGCAAGTTAAATTTTATTCTGTGTATAGTCCTGTCTGACCTCTGCTTAGGTGTACCTGTTCACTTTTGAATTTTCTCTTCATCTCCTGTGTGCTGTCCTAACATGAAATGCTAACTACGAAACTCTCATGAAAATATCTCCTTGGGGAAATGCTCAAGGTGAATAAAAAGGGCACTTTTTCTTTCCTTGTGCAAAGTCTCAAGAGAAGACAGGACGAAGTTTGTAAACAATGTCCTGATACAATACCTGTTTCATCAAGCAGAAACTCAAACCAGACAATATTAATCTTGGAATATGTACTTCAGGCAGATGTTTCTATTATACAAGTGCAGTAAGCTACATTACATTAACTCTTTCTATTCAGTCTGACCCAGATTTGTTCATAACCACTAAGAAATTTTCTACAACTGCATATCATCCTGTTTTACTCTTAGGCCTAGGCTCATTTTCTTAGACAAAGCAAATGGCATAAGAAAAAGCAATGATGTAACTACTTTTCTAATACATTCAGACCTCATTTATTCATTCACTCATGTCATATAAAAAAATAGAGATCTAGAACACCTAAGTAGCTTTAATCTTCGAAGTAAATCAAAGACATTATGAAAAATCCAATTTTCCAATGAAAATTCTGCAAGAGATTTAAACTTAAAAGAAAATACTCTAGACCATAAAGCAAGAGATAAATCAATAGGGGATGCCCTCAACCCTTCAAGCCCATCTGGGTTTTTTTGCCATGATAACTGTAAATATTCAAATAGTCTCACTAGGTAATGTCCCAAAATTGTATTTTCTCAGATAACATCTGTGAAATAACCCAAATTGGCTAGTGGTATTTGACATGAGTTCTGTACAGTTAGACTAATTCTCAGGTGGTAAATCTTTCTTTCACAAAGACATTATCTCAGTTGCTACTAATTGGCACAGTTGCAGGTGCTAGCAGATGGACCAGAAATGAATGACCTCTCAGCTCTAGAACTGTAGCTTCAGCTTCAGCTGAAATGCATTATCTCCAGTAGTGCAATGGACCTTGCAGAGCTATAATAACACTTACCAGGCCTTTTTCAATGGTGAGTGAGAGTATGTCCCTTCTGACGAAATCCAAATTTTGTGAAACAAAGAACTGATTTTACAGGCAGTTTAGTTTGGAACTTTTTATTTTTCATCTATAATGAAAAAGGAAATATGTTATTTTTCTTCAGTGGTAAAATAACTTCAAAATTATTTTAAATATGCTTATATTTTCTTTTAATGACAGACATATGGGACTATTTCCATAATGTGCTTCTTCAGGAGTATGCTAGAGAAAGGAATGGAGTAAATGTTATCAGTGGACCAGTGTTTGATTATAATTACGATGGCCATTTTGATACTCTTCATGAAATTGTGCTGTAAGTACATGGAAAAGACAGAAGTCAAACTCCAGATTATTTCCCACTATATTTCCACACAAACAAACTTCTATTCAAAAAGAAGAAGAAACAAGTATCACAGGGAGTGGAGTATTCCCTTTATAATACTGCACCCACTGTTACTCATACAACAGCAAATACTCTTCCAAACAGATACAGTATTGTGGAAGTTGAAGTTCCAGTAAAGAGAAAACAGTTTTGCAATTACGTGTGTCTCTATGTACACATGCAGAGATACAGACCAGTAACTTACTTCCCAAGCTTATGCCTATATTTTTGGGCCTTTGCAACAGAAATACCAGGACAATATATGACATCTAAATATGCGGATGTGTTTAAGTATAATTTTCTTTCTTTCATGTTGTGCTCACTCATCTGTTTGTTGTTTCTCCCTGTTGCCTCAAACTGATGTGTTTTATCAAAGATCAGATTTCTGTCTTTGCCTTCACTGAATCGTGTAACAGGGAATGTAACATAAACATTCCTGAGTGGTACCTTTGCATAGCTATGGCTTACAGAAGTCACTTGGAGGTCTGACAAGTTCTAGGTACATTTTAGTAAGCTCTGGTAGCATAAGAAAATACATTTAAAAATTCATCTGTGTATAGAAACAGAAATAAGAGAAGACTTACATTACAAAATTCTATAAAAGAGAAATATAAAAGAGAAAGACCAATTATTTATGCTACTGAATGAGGACAGAAGGAGGAAAAAACAGAAAAACAAACAACTTTGATTGTTCTAAATATAGGGAAAATGCCTTGTGACAGTAAAAACACTTATGTAGTAGAAAAGTGCTGGGAAATCTGAACAGCTGAATCTGTCACTGGAGATGTTTTATTCAAGGCTAGACTTAATACCACATCTGTCAAAAATGGTTTGAGAATGGGAAAATCAGTTCTGCCACGAAGTAGGAGGCTGGAAGGGAGGAGAGACTAGAACTTCCTTCCAAGCAGAATGCTGTAATACCCAGTCGACCACATAATGTTGTCTACAGTTTGGAATAAGCATGTTTCATTCAGCATGGTTAGTCAGTCATACAAAGCAGTATAACGAGTTCAATGATGGGGTGTTTTTTGAATACTGAAGACATAGAGCAAATTTGGGAAGCATTCAGCTCCTGATAAGTTTATACATAAAAGTGACCATGTTCATGTTCATGGAATAGCCAGAAAAGGGAGGCAAAGACATTTTCAATCAGGTATCCTAAACTGGTTTCTGTAGCACATAGCCACAAGTCATCATTTTGGCATTTCTTGCTGACAATGAACCAGAAGATAGTTTTCTTGTCACTCTTCTCCAATTCAGTTTCATGTGGTGGAAATTCTTAATGTGTTGAAGGGCAAATATGATGGTCTATCCTGCTTCTTCCAGATGTAGAGATCTCTGGCTTTGGCAAAATAGAGTGCTGATCACTAAGCAATCCTGTTGGTTTCAGTGAGACTGCTTGTAGCAAAAGGACTAATCCATGTGTGTTTGGCTGTTCATGAAACAGATAGTGAGGCTGTCTATCCCATCAGGTATTTATTTCAATTAAAAAATAAATGAAAGTCATATAGTAGTGAAATATCTATGCTGAGATAAGTTCTATTAATTACTAATGGCATCAGTGGTTTTGATACTTGATATCGAGATAAATCCCTTAATTAATGTTTGTTTTATAGGCATGTAAACAATACAGAAATCCCTGTCCCCACTCATTACTTTGTGGTTCTGACTAGCTGCAAGAACAAGTCCTATACACCACTGAACTGTTCAGGCTCCTTGGATGCTTTGTCTTTTATCCTTCCTCATCGACCTGACAACACCGAAAGCTGTGCTGTAAGTATGGTTCTATGCTCCTGTGTGAACTGATTCCCAGTAGGATCCAGTCATCTAGAGAATCTTTAGAAGTCTGTTTAATTAATTCCTTCCCCATGAGTTGAGAGTGAGTTGAGAGCTAAAGCGATGACTAGGAGAGCAAGAAGCTCCAGGTGAGGTAGCTGGAAACTAATGAGCTGATATGAAGCAAGGAAGAAGAAGAAAGGAGAGTTTGATAAGAGGATTTGGAAATGCTGTCACCTGAGAAGGGCTGAGAACAGCAGCACAGCCAATGGGGTGATGAGATAGCTTCATGGAAGGCTGCAGGATAAACTTACTCCAGAGGTATCAGAGGACTCTGAGCATTATGCCCTTCAGTGTAGCTAGAAGAATTCCTTTAATCCTTTGTTCCACCTTTATCTGAAGTTAGACAGTAGGCATTTAGATGCACAGTTCTGCAGTTGAAATTCATATTTGGATTAAATATAATCTATGCTTACCACTAACAGTAAAATTTCATGTTTTATAGCAAACAAAATAAATTAGCTGAATGTAATATATATCGTTGAGACAGCTGAGCATCTATTCCATAAACTCTGGGATGCAGAAGGTTCCTTAGCTCAGTATGTATTACAGAGTCTCCCCACACACAAGTATAGCTGCACAGACTTGAACTGGCCCTCAAAGCAATACAATTGTGTTTATTTAGTTTATTTATAACTTTGAACTCATAACTCCAGACAGGTGCAACCTTGTGCTGCTTAGAAACAACTTGGGTGTCTCCTCATTTGTGGTGTGGATAATCCACAACTGCGCAGTGATCTTTCTGGTAATTGGGAATTGACTAAATATACAAAATAAATAACTTGAATGAATTAGTCTTTATACTTTAGAAATTAACATGTGTTATTTCTAAAGTTTAGCAACAAACCCCAAATATCGTTGCACTTTATATTCATTGAGTCTCGCAGTGACATAAATTTAGTGAACCACTCATGTCAGAAGCAGATACTGGTAATGGAAAAGCAAATGACCATCTGTTTGCAAAACAAAATTGTAGTAAAAGAATTGGATAATAACAGTTTTGATTGATTGATGCTTACATTTCCATTGTTCTCCCTGCCTATCTAGCAATTATTGCTGTCCAACAATCAAGACTGAGCTGCTGTAAGGACTTTGTTCATGTTGTCAGGTGCCTGTCGTTTGATAGCTTGAACACTGCAGCTAATTTATACTATAATTAAAATTATCCTTTCTAGTGTGTTTAAAATATGACTCAACTGGACTTCGTAGTTAAAAGTCAGACTTGCCATTTCAGCATAATTTTTTCTCTGTTCCTTTGGAGATGGGGAGAGGGGACATCCATTTGATTGTATTTAAATGAGATCCCTAAATGCAAGGCCATAAAGATGTCTAGGAAAACCTGAATGAAGTTTTACCAACTGGAGGCCTTTAGTCTGCCAGACCAGTTCAAACACTGGTTATTGTCTAACATCACAACCAAAAACCAGAGTGCCTTTTATGTGTTTGAATATTGTTCTCGTTTATTTTGTCAGGAAAATAAGACACTTTCCGAATGGGTTGAAGAAAGAGTTCAGGCTCATTCTGCACGTGTTCGGGATGTGGAGCTGCTAACTGGGCTTGACTTTTACCAGGAAAGAAAGGAACCCATCTCCAAGATCTTACAGCTAAAGACATTTTTGCCAATATTTGAGACTGAATTTAACTGAGTATCAGTTAAAAAGTGTCAGTGCTTGGAAAAAAGCAAATTTAAGTGATTTAACCTTTTACTTGCTAAAGTATGTAGGAAACATGACTACAGCTCTTCTATAGGAAAACACACTTAAAGGAGCTAATTTCTTTTTTCAAATTCATGTTCTTCCATCAAGTGTTTTGTGCCAACTGAATAAAAATTACCTGAAGTAAAATAAATCATCCTTGCTGAGCCAAGCTTTCAAAACAGAGAATAGTTTATTAGTAGTGATTTGAAAAAAACCTGCAAAATGAACATGTTTCATAGTAGTGAGACCCCAGAATTGTAAACTGCACAGAAAATACTTCTGTAATGGAGTTGGAAAGTGAATCCATTTGAGAGGCGTGTGTGTGTTTTTTCCCTTGTGTTTATCAGAGAGGTTATGCTTATCTAACACTAGTATATCCTGAAATGTTCTATATTTCTCTTTCTCACCTATTAATTCACATGGAAACTGCTATGTGAAACACTTATTCAGTCTTGAAAAAAGTTTGTATATAGTGGAAGTGCTTTCTACGATCATCCCCTGTGTTTTCCACTTGGGTTTATTCATTATGCTAGTAGCAAGTTAAGTTAGGGTAAATGAACTATATTCTGTACCATTCAGAAATCTTAAAGCATTCTGAACATGAAGAGGTAAAAGAAATGCTCTAGCCAGAAGAATTCTGTCTGGATATTTACTGGTATTTGCAAGGATTTCCAAATGCTTGGCAATACCTAAATGTTTGTGTCTGTTTTTAAATAGTTAAACCTGAGACTAGAGAACAAAATTAGTGGTGACATCCAAAAAACAGTCAGTGTTCCTTTCCATAGTGACTTTATACACAGAGACTCTAACTCACACTGTGCTGTACAAAAATTACTGCTGAGAGCAGGTCAGTGGGACAAGGCAGTGGAAATTCCCAGATTCTGCTATTACAGAAATGCCATGCATTAATTGAGTGTTGAACTGATTTTCTCCACTGAAAATGCTGCTAAGCGCAGGTATGAATAACAGCAGACAATTGGCCTTTTGTCTGATTCATAGGCACAGTGGGGGAGTTTTAAAGAAACACGTCAAAGAGCGTTTCAGTCTGTAACTAATTGTAGACTGAAGGAGATAAGTCTGTTTGAAAAAAGGAAGCTTCAAAAGCCTATACAAAAAAAACCCCAAAACCACCACAGGTCATTTTTTTCCCCCACGTCTTAGATGATCAGTGTATGCACATATACTCCAAACATAGCTTAGCCATATTTATCCCCATAAAGATGTGGGACCAAGCTGAACATCAAGATTTGTATTTTTGGTTAAATCATTGCGCCATCTCCTTGACTATGCAATTGTATTTCAACCTGCAACACTGTTGCATGTAAGTCTGCCCATCTAAATAGGAGACTTCTGCTAAACTGCCTCAATTAAGAATACAACTAATCTTTCACTTCATAGTAAACCATACCCTAACTTAGTCAATGCATCTACATAACACATAATGATTTAGGCATGTAAATTAACTAGTCTAGAATCATAAAATTAATTTCAGAGATAAGAAGAAACAGTTTATTAAGAATATAACATCTGGTATGTCTACATTAGCAATTTAAAGTAGAACTAGCTTGACTGATGTGATGTTATTGTGACTTGATATATTTAAATTTGAATTAATGCCTGTATCGCCAGCCATGGCAGCAATACAAGCTTCAGGCCAATACTTTAGTTCAATTATGAAAGCAAATTTCTGGTGTAGATATGTCTTTGTGAACAGTTACACTCATGTTCAAATTACATATGTCTCTGGGTACCTGCATGATGAAATAATGTCTTTGAGGTTTGCCCAGACTTCTGAAAATTAATGTAATTCATGTTCTCATGCATGACAGGTACTAGACTTAAATAGCTGCAAAATCAATTCGCTGTCCTCCTTCACAAGATTCCTTAATCTTTATCAAAATATCTAGCCTCCTCTGACATGAGCACCCCACCCTGCTGATAAAAGTTGTCCCTTCTGTGTAAAGATCCCTGCCTATCAGGCTGACAGAAACTGTATTTCTTGTTCAGTATTTGCGGAGCATCTAACACATGCGGGCCCTGATCACATACTTGGGTTTTACACAAACTTTTGTGGTAATGGAGTCTGAAGTTGCAGTTACTCTAAGAAAGCAAATATGAAAGTGGTTTTGCTATAGTCATGTTTATTTCCCCTACTATTTGTTCCGCTGTCACAATATCTAGTGTTCAGAAGCGTAGTGGGTCATTTACAGAAAAAGGATGGCGTTCGCATAGGAATAACAACTGAAAATTTTCTGTGAGTAAAGGACTTGGTTCTTAGCCCTTTATTCTTCCCTTGGCACGGATGCCTGGGTGCTCTCTTCGTGTTGCAGTCTCCAGCTTTCTCAGTGCCAGTTCTCTATGCAGTATCATACAGCTTCTCTCATACCCTGTAACGTAAACTCTGCTATAGCAAACTGCTTCTGGCAACATTGTGTTCCCTCTCCTTCTCCCCAAGATGTAATATCCATCTCTTGATGGTCTTGTGGTTTCACAGGCCTCCTTAAACCTGTCGAATTTTTTATTACTCACAGGAACAACCATGGGAAGTTTTCTTTCCCCCATCACTACTAAGTTCAGCCAGGGAGCCTAGTCATTGACTGCTTTAAAATACATCTGCATTTCTGACTGATTTGGTGGCAAACGGGGGCTAAGTTTTCTTCCTTTCCCTTCCCTAGTTACAGGAGCCAGTGCCTGCATTGGAGATTTGGAGAACTAGTAGTGAAGGTGGTAGAACAATGATTAGGGGACAGATTTGGATACCACCCTTGTATCACATAATCAAAGCTGCACATGAGAGGAGGTGCAGGTCTCAAACCCTGGAGATTTATGCAAGAGAAATTAATTGGTGTTTGGGCTTTGATGACCTTATCTAAAATTTTTTAACAGCTTCATAGGTTTGCACAGGCATTTTTGTTTAAATTTGAAAATAAATGTAATGCCTTATCTGTTTGTAGAAATAAAACATTAAAAAAATCTTGCCAGTTTATAAGAAAACACTCAATACTGTGTACATATGGTTGGATTGCCAGTAGAAATACAGCCTGAAATTTATGCAGTTCCCCAAGACATTTTTACAGATCTTTTCCTTTTTGAAATAGAGTAACTTCTGCAATTTGCATGGAGATGGAAATGAACAGCTGCCCCCAACAGAGTTCGTGTGCCACAGAAGCTACAAACTACAGCACAGTCATTCCAAGAATCTAAAAAATTTATTTTATTCAAATAATGTGAACCTGGAACATTTCAGCCACTTTCGTTTCAAGACTCTCAATCGATTGTCCACTTTTTGCATTCCAAAAGCAAAGAATACTGATTCTTCATTGAAATTATCAATAAAGTTATCAAATATATGAAAGCTCTGATATATAGAGGAGAGTAGGAGGGGAATAAGTTTTATCTTGCATTTCAAAGGCAGTGAAACTGTTTGTGACATTGTAAGAAGTTTACTTGGGGCATGTTCCTTACTACAAGAAATCAGGACAAAGGAACAGTTGACTGAATGTATAAAATTGGTTATTTTCTTTACTCAGAAATGCTGAGAAATTCAGAAGCTGAAACAAAGAAACAGTAAAAGTAACAACAAATAGACAATACAACATAGTAAAACCAGCGTAAGGCAAATATTTAATTTAAAAACATACTTCTCCTTTGATAACCACTCTGCTTTGTCCTGAGAACTAAGAAATAATGCTGCTTCTGAAAGTTTCAAACTTCTCCTGTTTCCTAGGGGATGTGGGTACAACTTCCCAAAAACGACAAACCGTTTGTTTCTGTGTTTTTTAGCCAGTTTGGGGTATCAAGTATCAAGCTGGAGTGAAATCGGTGTAAATCAATCTGCTGACTGTAAAGGCAGATGTTGCTGAGTCTCAGCCCTCATAGCCACCTTATGTGAGAGAGTTAAAAATGTAAATTCTGCAAAATGCAATTTTCCATAGACCACTATTGAAGCTGAGAAACTGAACACTCCCATAGCCACTGAAAATCTGAATTTGGGAGGATCTGGCCCTTTCCCTCTGTTACGCTTGGGGTTTTTTTTGAGTTTTAGAGTATTAGAACCAAATCTGTAAGCAAATACAGAAATTGGGCACTACCTATAGCTAGTCTTGTCTCTGTAGCAAGGCAGGGTAATAATGAAAGAGAGCAGGCAAGGGAAACACAGCCTACCCTGCTCCAGAAAATCCTGCAGCCAGAGCAAGGAAAAGCTTAACTGAATTTTTTTTTTTTTTAGCAAGCGCTACTGTGTTTCCCTAACACCACACCCTGGCCCTGTGAGACTGTCACCATGTGAAACAAACTTTTTTTTTTGCTTAATATTTATTATAGAGACTGCTGGCTTTTTGTCAATACCTCACTGAAGGCTACCTTCAAAGTTGAGTGCAGACATTTAAATGGCACAGAATACCCTTGACCCTACCTTGGACATTCTTCTTTAAGGAAAACAGTATTCATGAGTATAGAAAGGGCTGGTTTTTCAAATTTTCTCCTGCACTGATCGTCCAGTGTTTGTACATAGGATGGTGGGATTTTTCATATGCAAAATGTGCAATTGTGTTTGTAAGCCCAGATTTTTTCTACCCTAATTGTACCATTTCTGTGCAGTGTGGAGAGTTCCTGCCCCTGGGTAAAGAGCTGTCAATAAGGAGGCAGGCATATCTGTCGTGCCTCTGGACCTGATGTCTTGGCAAAAGTGGAAGTTCAGAAGTGATCTCTTAATCAAGCAGCTCCTCCCTGCCCCATCACATTTCCCCTGGGAGCGGGAAGTGAAGACTACTGGAATGACTTTCCTTCCACTGTCTGGAAGTAGCAGGAAATTTGAATTCTTCCCAGTCCTTGGAGCAGAAACCAAAGAACAGGAGTGTCCCCATAAGGATGAAAAGTGGTGGGTGGAAGGTGATTTGATATTAGTCAGGGACAGGGCTTAAGGACAGCTTTGGGTTTGGGATCAACCA